GCGTTTTGGGGGGGGGGGGGCATGTGCCCCCCAATCTGTGTGTGGCAGAGGCAGCTGTGGGCTGGGCTTTGTGCCCCGAGCCCCGCTGCACATGCCCCCCAGGCCTCTGTCCCTTCCTTCCCCTACCGACTGACCTGCTGGGCATGCATGCACGTGCTCAGCCTCCTCCCCAGCCCAGGATTGACTTGAGGCTCTGGGATCCACCAGTCGATCACAATTGATCAGTCGGTTAGCACTGCCCTTAGTGCTGTGGCTTCTGGGCTGAGAATTACTGCTATTAAGTACTGTTTCTTCTCATCCTTTTCTTTTTTTTATGAAGCAGATAATTAACCACAAGATGGAGCTAAATATTTAGAGCCTGTTAGAAAATAAACCAGTGAGGCTTCTTTGTGGAACAAGTGCATACATCAACTGCTTTGAACTTGTGTGAGGGATTTTTGAGCATTTGTAGTTTAATGCTATTTCTGATTAACAGGCAAAATAGTTTTATCTATTTTTAGGTAGGAAGTATGCTCTAGTGCAATATAAGTAGAAACCTGATATTTAGCCTACATATTTAAGTTAATATTTAGCCTCACATTTAATCTAAGTCTTCTATGATACAAACTGAGCAAATTTTTTCACACTTGAGTGCATAAGAAAAATGATTGGATGTATTGAACACTGCCTCCCTTTCATAGCAACCATTTTGGCAGGTGTAAGAGTATCAGTCTCATCTTTTTTACATTATATAAATCCAGTCCCTTCAAGCTTTCCCTGAGAATCATATTTTTCCCCTTTCTGCCTTAAAAACATTTTTGTTAATAAACCCCATATTAAAATTTGTTGTTTTTTCTTTTTGCAGTCCCACACTGACTTATGGTCAGTTTATAGTCAACCGTAAACCCAGAAGCTTTTCTGAAATAACTGTGTAGCAGGCTACTGACAATTTTATATTCGTGTATTTGATATTGCCTTTCCTAACTGTGGTCCTCTAGTCTCTGAATTTCATTTTGTTGATTTCAGACTATTACTCCAGTTTTTAAGATAAGTTCTGATTCTGTTCTACATAGTGTTTGCAATACTTTGACAGCCACAAATTTTATAAATGTCCTCTCCATTTTATCATCAGAGTCATTAATGTGGGAACCTCTGTTCCTCCCAGTAAAAATGAAGCAGACTCAGGACACATTCCTGCAGGGCCCCGCTTGAGGTGCGCTCTGTCTGACAGGAGGCCATTAACAGGGAACTCCCTGAAAAGCTGTGCTCTAACGGTTATACTATATGTATTAAATTGATATTGAATAGAGTATATTTCCCTTGCAACCTTATGGGGAAAAAAGTCATATGACAATGCTGACAATTTCAAAAGCCTTATTAAAATCAGAATACAATACATTTACTGCTTTTGCCGTATCCATGAGGCCAGTTACTGTTACTAACAAGAAATGGGATGAGTGTGACCTGATTTGTTACTGATCCATGTTAGCTGTTTTTAACACCTCTTTCGTCCTCTAGATGTCCATAAATTAATAACTAGTTTTAGTATCTTTACAGATAACAAAGTTAGGCTGACTAATCTGTGATTCCTTGAGTTGCCAACTTTTCTGGTTTAAAATAAAGGTGCTGCGCTTTCCTTTCCTCCACTTCTCTGAGTTGTCCCGGGTCTTTCAGAAGTTGACAAAGATAGATTGCTTTGGGTAATTTCTTAAATACTCAGCTACAAACTGCATCATGCTCTGCTAAATTGAGCACTTGTCTAAATATACTTTAATCTGTTCTTTCCCTTTTCTGAACTCTGTTCTCCACCTTTTAAAAAGCAGATAGGTTAGATGCTAGAAATTACTTAAAAGGCAAAAACAATTGACATTAATAACACATTTATAATGGCCCCTAGATCATTGTGCTGTTTGTGGTGTATCTGCTTTTTCAAGGGTATTCATTTACTGTAGTGGTGTATGTATTTTAATAGTAATGGGGTGGGTTTCTTGAGCTTCTGTGATCTTATCTTAAACGGAAGCAGCTAGTGTACACCTTGTTAACCTTTGAAATCTATGCAAGAACACAACACATCAGTAGGCTGTTAGTGCTCATCTCCTTATCAGCCAGCTGGTAAAGATACTAGAAGCTCAGTATTTGTAGGCTGAGGAGGAAATGAAAATTAATTTGTAGAGGTAAACAGATGCTTCTGGGATGTGCTGCACATTGATCTGACTCCATTCTTGCATACAAACCTTTGGATTTTGTTTTCTAAACACAACAAGGCAGCGGTTTATCTGAGGATCTGGAATCCCATAGATAATTGAATTAGTTAAAATGGTTGAAGTTAAGAGACCTTTTTTACAGATAAATTTTCAGTAATGCTGTTCAGGTAATGCACATGTGCCTGGCTCTTTATTTTTCTCTGACTAGCGAAAATATTATTGGCTACACATTTTTCTCTTGTTCAGTTCTACAAAACAATAACTTTTTATTTTTAACCTAGAGTAATATAGACGATAGGAAAAGTGCTGCATGAGAGGAGACCTTTTGCTTGACTACTTGCAGCTTTTTCTTACGTACTGATTTTTTTCACCGTTTTATGAAGCTACATGTGAGTGTTCTCTGCTTGTCTTAAGTGCTAGGAAGCACCACCCTTAAAACATGCCAGGTTGCTCCTGCTGTGCGCCAAAAAAGCTGTTGCAGTCATGCCAGAAGCTTGCATAGATTTCATAGACATTATGGCTGGAAGGGACCTGTGAGATCATCAGGTCCAGCCCCCTGCCCAAGGGGCAGGAAGTCAGCTAGGGTCAGATCATCCCAGCAAGATAAGCATTCAAGCATGCAGCACAGCAGGTGCAAATAAGCACTTCCTAGCCCTTTCCAGCACAGCATAGACGTGCTTGTCATAGAAAATTAGAATTGGAAGGGACCTCTTATATTGCATTGTTTTTATATTTGATGCCATCATGCTGTTACAAGGGATGCATATCTGCCTATCTTCTTTTCATGAACCTGGAAGGTGTGTGCTTCCTTTCTCTTATGTCGCTTTGCTCAGGCTGGCTCTAGTCCCTGCCTCAACAGGTGTTCTTTCTGATTGCTGGTTTGGTGCCCTGGGGCTCAAGCCCATGCTGTGCCACACTGTCTCAAGCACATGCCAGGCAGAACTTCTAGCTTTGCAGATGTTGTACTGGGTAGTGTGCCACAGTAATAAAGAGAATGTATTAAGTATTTGCTTCTGGCATCCAAATACTTTTATAGGTGGTACCCTCCTGCCTTCAGCTTGTCAAATACATGTTATAGCACCGTCCTGTATCAAGGTATAATTAATTTAAATAAATCTTATGCCAGGTACTCTGTGGTCAGAATGTGGTTTCATAAGCCACAGCTGGAGAGGGTAGGTGAGATCTCCTAAAATAAATGGTTTCACACTTCACTGACCACCTTGATTTTTGGTGGAAGTGAGGTCACTGCTTGTAATTTGGCACCTTGGTGTCATATACGTTGCCTCTTTTTCATGTCAGTGTCTAAGAACCTGCCTTTTTTAGTTGACTGAGGCACTGGGAATAGTGTTCCTTTTGCTTTGGGTATTCATGTATTCCTTACAGTAGACAAAGCATGGACACATGCCCCAGTACAGTTTGAGAAACCCATTATTAAAGGCTAGCTATTATTTCTAGCACACTACTCATGCTCAACCTCTAGGGGTAATTCACAGTATGAATCTCTTTACCAATGACCACAACCACCACAGCGATGAAGATATTGTCAAGTTAACAATACAGATTATCCGCATATCTGTAACAGTTTGGGTAGCTATCTTTCAGATGGCAATAACATCCTGTTTTTGGATTGGTACAGGCTCCCTCATTTGTCTGTCCATGTGCTGGAAAGTTAAGGCAAGCTCTTTACTCACCTTCATAAACGTCTTCGTGCAGAAATTCTGGAATATCTGTTGGCCATCCTGGTTCTGCACAACAGTGTCATCTCAATATCCTGTGCTATTTCTGCACCAGAAGTACTGATCTGCATCTAGGGAACATGCAGCAATTGCAGCCTTTATCAGGTCTCTCTGCTTTGCTATGAATAAAATGGTCTATGAGAGTCATTGCTACTGACCTGCCATCAGCTGTCTCCCAGACCTCTTTCTGTGTACCCTGACATAATATATTTCTCTGTATGAGTAGGAACAGCCACCTTGTAGAGCAGTTCAAGTTAGTGAAGTGCTATAAGTCCTTGAGACATATCCTGGAGATCCTACCACAAAACCATGCAAAGCTATGATGGAAATGGGTATGTTTCTGGTGCTTGTAGAGCTCTGGAGCATGGACACTTGCAGGTGAATTTGGCAGGTGTTTGCCTGCATTCCTCATGACAAAATTTGGATGAATTGCCTCCATGTAGACAGACATTGTCTTAAGCATTTGTTATTAGCTAGCGCTGAGTTTAGCACTTTCAGTTCCTAAGAACACCTGATGGGAGTGAGGTCCAAAATTCACTTGTATATCTTGCTGGTGTGAAAGTACTGATATATGAAGCATTACAAAACTGCAAGTGGTATGTCTGCTTGCATTAAGTGAAGTTGTTGATGTTATCTTCTTGTTCTGGTCTCATGCAGTTGTCACGGAAGGTGTTTTTATCTTCACAGGTACGTGCCATGGAACTATCATGAATCTGAGCCAGGACTATATAACTTCTCTGGTGACAGAGATGTAGAATATTTCCTGCAGCTAGCTAATGAGACTGGATTGTTGGTAATACTGAGAGCTGGACCTTATATCTGCGCAGAATGGGACATGGTAAAGATTTGGTTAAGACCTTCCCCATCTCTAGGCTGAATTTGCATCTGGTCTCTATCTAATATAGATGTCAGATTATTTTTACCTCAGGGTTGGAATGGAAAAAAAAATCATAATACACAGGCCATCCCTGGCTTAGAATATTTAAATGTATGGGTTTGTGTCTTCCCCAGGTGTGGTCTGATAGCACAAAACATGTTAATGGTTACACAATGTTCATTTTAACAGAGGCTTAGTTATTATTTATCACTGACATACACCATGAAATGGATAATATCAGTGGATATAATTCTCATATAGTTGGCTAAACTTACTATTATGGTTTCTGAAACACAGCCACTTAATTGGTTTCCTCCTTCTTCCTAGGGGGGTCTGCCTGCATGGTTATTGGAAAAAGAATCAATTGTTCTAAGATCTTCTGATTTAGGTAAGGAGATCAGAACAATCTGCAAAACCATGTTCCATTTGCAAGCAAAGCAGAGGGTTGAGATTTGTGTTTTTTCAAGTATTAGTATGTTAATTCTAATATTATAAAAGCCTAACTCTTTTTGTGTGTTTGTCCGTCTGTAATGCTTTATTCGCACTCTGATTGGCTGACGGAAGCCAATCAGAGTGCTCCAAGTGTGGGGGAGTGCCGCCATTATTCCGAAGCTGTGCTGAGGACTGGACAGAAATGGGGGAGCCGAGGCCAGCAGCTCTGGCCTTGGCTCCCCCACCCCGCTCCCTGCAAGTGGCTCCCTCACCCCCTGTCTGGTCCTTGGCGCCAAGGCCAACCCACCCCGCTCTCTGCAAGCTGTGCCAAGGACTGCTGCAAGCTGCTGCCCTCGGCTCCCCTACCCCATTCCCTGCAAGAGGCAGAACAGCAGCAGCATGGGGCGTTAGGTGGCGGGACTCCATCCTAGCCCCCTCGCCCTCCCCATCATTCTTAACGGACATTTGGCTATTTGTTGTTATAAAAACATTAGTTAGGAGCAACAGGAACATAAGTTACCATGAATAATATTCTCTGAATAAGGAGTGCACAATGAATAAATTGTCCAGTGAATAATTCTATGGAAAGAATAAGCTGAAGATGACTTTTGTAATTCAATATTTGCAAGGCTGTACTTTTAGATGGAGACTTCCTAAAATGCAGCCTGCAAAGTGTTTGCACATGGATCATAAAAGTAACTTTTAATGGTGGCTGTCCTCAGTCGAAGCAGCCTGCAAAGTGTTTGCACATGGATCATAAAAGTACCTTTTAATGGTGGCTGTCCTCAGTCAAAGCAGCTTGATTGAACAGTCAACAGCTATAGGGTTGCCAATAATAATTGACTAACACATCTTTGCAACAACCCTGTGATCCATTGTTAAGGATAATTAATTTCCTTTACAATGGCCTTGGTAAGCTGGCATGAAGTGTCCCTTCCAATGTTCATCTCAAGATAAGTTCTGATGTGCTGAATGATTTGGGAGGTGCTCAGTTACCTGGACTGACCTGACATGTTTGCCTGCTTTTTGTGCAATACTGCAATATGCCAGTTATTTTACTGCTCCCTAGGGATGGAGAGAGAGAGAGAGAGAGAGAGAGAGAGAGAGAGAGGCATTCTACTAAGAGCTCTTTGCTGCCAGAAGTTCAATACCCCCACACAACTTTCTGGATTAGTAACAGTTCTGTTGCCTGATGCAAAACCCTTCTCCTGGTTCTGATGTCTCACTAGTTAGCTTCCAAGAATTTACTGTGCTGGAGTTTTGCAGGTATGCTAGACTCTTGGTCTAGAGAGCTACTACTTAAGATCGCTGGAGTAGCGGGGTGGCTGACATAGCATTGCTCTGGCATTTTGCTTGAGTATTGCCAAGAAAAGTCAGTTGTGTAAATTCTAATTGAGCTAGAATTTAGTCATGATGCTAGATTCTCCTTGTAACTTTGTGTACGTAAGGCATACCATATTACATCTATCGAGCACCAATGGTTTGCACTGCAGATTCATTTTATATTGTGGCTCCCAGTGTAACGATCCACCCATTAAGTGGCACTCCCTGAACAAAACTGAATCATGTCATCACTTCATTATATGGTACTTTTTGTTCTCTTTGTACAGACCCTGTGCATTTAGCGATACACATTTTTTTCTTTCTTGAAATTTTAAAAAAGTAAAGGCCAAAACCCTGCAACTCATCTTCACTTTTCCCTTTGTTTATTTCAGATTACCTAGAATCTGTGGACAAGTGGATGGGTGTCTTTTTACCAAAGATGAAGCCTCTTCTTTATCAAAATGGAGGGCCAATTATTATGGTGCAGGTAACATATTTTAAAAATAAAATGAGAAAAATGGCAATGTGACAGCTAATGGTTTTTATACCTTTGGTCACATTTATTGCTTTTTCACCGTACTTATTAATAAGTACAGCTTTCAATATGGACTTTCAGTACTTAGCCCTTGTTGATTCTTGGTGACACTTTGTATGTGGGTTACGGGGCTGGGGTTGAGGTGAGCACAGTCACTTGCTCAATAAATTATTTTTGTTGCTGGTTCCTGCAAGAATGTAAGGATAATGGCTCAGAGGTTGCTGTTGTGAGCTTCTCTATCTGTTCACATTCCATGCATCTTTTCCAGAGTTACTGCTGGTTTCATTGTCTCCTTCCTGAGACGTAACCACCCAGGTTCAGCAGCTACTCTTAGTGTCAGCGAAAGGCTTTTTCACTATCGAGGGCTGGGTTAGTTATCATGTTGCTGATTGCATGATTTTTATTGTGTAGGTTGAAAATGAGTATGGAAGCTACTTTGCCTGTGATTACAATTACCTTCGATATCTCCAGAAGCTCTTCCGCCACCACCTTGGGGAGGATGTGGTGCTGTTTACCACGGATGGGGCAAGCAAAAGTTACTTGAGATGTGGAGCCCTGCAAGGTCTTTATGCAACAGTGGATTTTGCCCCAGGTTGGTGTTCACAGCAATATTTTACTCATTTGTAGCAAAGCAAATGGTCTCTTTGACTTATGGCAATCTACATACCTATAATCATTTGCCATTTGTCTCTGGGGTCATCTTGACCAATTTAGTCTTTGTTTACAGTGCCAATATCTTGAATAATGCAGCAGGGTGGGGCAGTTTTTTCTAAGGGTCATTGGCCCTGTTCAGAGTCCAGATCCATCAAGTGATCACCTTCCTAATATCTGCAGGAAAATTTGTGCTTAGTTTTTTGTTAAAAAGCACATGTTGTTGTAATCTGTAGACCTGTATAATTGCTATCTGAGTGTAGCATTTGTGAAAAGTGCCCAGTAAACAGAAGAGAAGCCTTAATGCCTTTTATCCAATGCCTAATCTAATGCTTTTTACAACTGCATAGCCTTGGCAAGCTAGGTTTGCTATGCCTTGAGTTAAAGGTCCAAGCTTCTGCAATCGGTAGCCTCCTTGGTGACTTATCCTTTGTTGGTAGACAACTCAGTGTATTGTGCAGATATTTATTAGATACTAAATGGGCTAAATGAACTGAGACTACATAACTGCTTTGTATAGGTCAGACAGTGAACGGGGATGACTTTTCCAGACACTGTTGGCTTGGGTAGTTTACCAGCATCTTCTATTCCCCCAAAATTGATGCTAAAATAAGATCCACATTTTCTGGAATGATTCCCTAATTTGGCTGGGGGTGCCCATTTCTTGGTGTTCATTTTGAAGTAACTTTTAAAGGATGAATCCCTCCCCTCTAAAAATTGGGCTGTGCTCATCAAGTGCTTCAAGTTCAACACTGAAAAATCAAGGTGCCCAAAATCATTAGTCCCTTCCAAAAAGAGATACAGCAGTCCATTTCTATTTATTTAAGGCAAAGAACTGAAATAGAACAGATTTTGCTGCTTAGCTTTTGCTTTTTATCTATTTCCAGGTGGTAATGTCACAGCAGCATTTTTATCTCAAAGAAGCAGTGAACCAACAGGCCCTTTGGTATATATTTATTTTTGTTTTTAATTTTTCATAAATTGTTTCATGTTGGTGTGTACATAATAAAGGGGTTGATATCAGTACATTATGCTGCTTCTCGGGATGCTCAGATTGTTTTGAATATTAGACCTCGTGGCTAGGCACAGGATGAGCGTTGTTTCCTATGTCACATTGACAACAGTTCTACGAAGTGTACTCTGGCCTCAGAAAAGATCATTTTTTTGAAGTTTTGTCCCAACTAAGATAAATGAGTACAAAGCAATGGAAACAGTATAGATGATTTGGTGAGTGAGTAAAGTGTGGGTAGATGGTGGGAGTTAAGTGTGAGTGGGTGGGTGGAAGTTAGAAGTAGAAAAAAAGGAAGCAAAAAAACTTCACTTTTTAAAAATTGTCCTCTATTTCTATACACCTTAATGGGACCTGAATTGGTCATACAGGCTATTTTGACAAAAGAAGGGCTGGAACATAAGTTCTTTTGGCAAGCTCTTAGAGCAGCATTTTTGACCAATTATTTTGCTACTTTAAAGCTTTATTTTTATTCAGTGTAATATGAATGGGCTTATCGTGCAAATTTACATGTAGAGTCCATCAGTCCTTTTAGTGATTGAAAGTTGAAGGTGTTCCATGTATGACAGAGTACAATGAAACCCATGCTAAACACCACTTAAACCGTCTCTTCAGGATATTTAACATATTCTGGAGGTGATTAACTTCTAACATATTCTACTGCATATATAATATTTTGAAGAAAACTTGTATGATGTAAATTGTTTTATTTTTTGGATTTTTTCCCCTCCCTTTTGGCTACTGACCTAAACCAAACTTAATAACATTAAATTACAATTTTGCTTCCTCTTTGTATTTCTCTACCATTCTTCCTGCTCTCAGGTTAATTCTGAGTTCTATACTGGCTGGTTGGATCACTGGGGTCACCGTCATTCTTTTGTGCCAGCCCAGCTGGTAGCTAAATCTCTTAGTGAAATCCTGGCACGTGGTGCTAATGTTAACATGTAAGTGTATATTTGAGAGCATGGCTCTTTCAGTAAATGGTTTGATTATTAGTGGAGTCCAGCAAAACCTGGGTTGAGTGTTTTTTTGTTTTCATTTTTAGGTACATGTTTATAGGTGGAACCAATTTTGCCTACTGGAATGGTGAGAAACAGTCACAATTTATTTGAATTCTTATGACTTAATTCAGGGGGGCTGCCCAACTTCTAAGCATCAGGGGGTTGAATGCCCTGTGGGCCTCACCAGTGAGGGCGCATGCCCATAGGCTGCACCAGGGTGAGTCTCAAACCCCCAGGTCACATACCATGGGGGCGAATCCCCCACCCACTGCAGATCCATGCACCTGTGGCTCCTCCTCCCCTCTCTGCTGCTCACCTTCAGCTTCCCAGGGGCAGAGGCAAGCAGTGAAAGCCAGGGAAGGGAGGGGGAGCCCAGAGACTTTGGCAGCTGGAGTCGTGAGAGAAGCGTTGGCTGGACAGGAGCCAGGGGGCTGCAGCTTAGTGACTTGCAGACCTCATGCAGTCCACTGGCCCTGAGTTGGACAGCCCTGACTTAGTGTGGTTGCTTATGAACTGGGTAGTTTGTTCTATGAGTCCCTGCTAGTTTTTGTGAAGGGAGGGGAGCTATATATGCTTCAAAATGACAGGTGATAGCTGCACATACAATTTACAGTCTGTTACAAATGGCATGTTCTTTAAACCTTCAGGCTGTGTGTCCTAAATCAATTCAATATTCATCTTGTCAAAAGACATGGTTTAAAATGCCTTAATTACTATTTTGGTTGTTTGAGTAAATCTGATATCTTTTATTAGATCAACTCAAATAGTTGGAAAAAAATCTTTTTTGCAAGCTTTCTGGTACACAAATACCCTTTGGTTATGCTGAGGAAGCATCTGCAGTTGGTCTGTGGTCTTTCTGGATGGAATGAATAGTAAAGAAGCCAGAGGCTGACTAGAAAGGCAGTTGGTGAAGATGTAAATTGAGGAGTCAGTGGGTGAGAGACAGGCTGGGGTGGTGGGGGGAAAGGGAAAAAATGTAGCTACTAAATAGTGGAGAGGTACCTGGAAAGTCAGATGTTAGGCAGGTTATAATGTGTCCTAAATCCAATATCTATTTAGTCTGTGATTTTATTTATTTATTTTTTTTTTTTGTATCCAGTAGATTGATGAAGTGAAGTTCATAGACTTGTGTGTGGAAGGTGTTTTGTAAATTCCCTTTGAGAATTAGAACTGAGAGGTTGGAGAGAGAGTGGTTTTCTTGTGAGAAATGTGCCTCCACAGGTAGTTGGCTACTCTTGTCCCTGATAGATTTTTGATGTGCATTCATTCTGGTAGGCGGCTATTCATAGATTGATAGAAGTAGGGTCAGAAGGGACATTGTAGATCATCAGGTCCAACCCCCTGCCCCTGGGCAGGAGAGAGAAACCGGGCTCAAATGACCCGAGTCAGGTAGATGTCAAGCCTCCTCTTAAAGACCCCCAGGGTAGGAGCCATCACCACTTCCCTTGGAAGTTGGTTCTAGATCCTAGCCGCCCTGACTATGAAGTAGCACCTTCAGATGTCTAGTCTAAACCTACTCTCTAACAACTTGTGGCTGTTATTCCTTGTTACCCTGGGAGGTGCTAGGGAGAACAAGGTCTCTCCCAAACCCTGCTGGTACTCCCTAGTGACTTTATAGATGGCCACCAGGTCCCCCCTCAGCCTTCTCTTGTGAAGGCTGAACAGGTTAAGGTCTCGTAGCCTCTCTACGTAGGGTCTGCTCTGCTGTCCCTGGATCATGCAGGTGGCCCTCTGCTGGACCCTCTCAATGCTGTCCACACCCCTCCTGAAGTGTGGTGCCCAGAACTGAACACAGTACTCCAGTTGCAGCTTGACCAGTGTCGCATAGAGGGGGAGGATCACCTCCTTGGTCCTGCTTGAGATGCATCTGTGGATGCACGACAAGGTACGGTTAGCCCTACTGACCGTGACCTCGCATTGTTGGCCCATATTCATCTTGGAGTCAATAATGACTCCAAGATCTCATTCTGCCACTGTGCTCTCAAGAAGGGCGTTTCCCAGCTTATAAGCGTGCTTCTGGTTCCTGCTGCCCAAGTGCAGCACCCTGCACGTGTCAGTATTGAAACCCATCCTGTTTTTGTTAGCCCACCCCTGTAACCTGTCTAGGTCCCGCTGTAATCTATCCTTCCCTACTAGTGTGCCTACCTCACCCCAAATCTTGGTATCAGCAAATTTAAACAGGCTGCTTTTCATCCTGTTGTCCAAGTCACTGATAAAGAAATTGAACAGTACGGGCCCAAAGACCAAGCCCTGGGGGTCTCCACTACCCACTTCCTTCCAGGTCGAAAAGGACCCATCTACCCCTACCCTCTGAGTACGACCCTTCAGCCAATTTGCAATCCATCTGACTGCGTAGGCATCAGTGCCAGTCACCTAGTTTTTTATTGAGAATGGGGTGGGAGACCGTGTCAAAGGCCTTGCTGAAGTCCAGAAAGACTACATCCACTGCGACACCTGCATCCAGTGCTTTTGTGACCTGTTTGTAGAAGGCAATCAGGTTGGTCTGACAAGACCTGCCCCTAATGAAACCATGCTGGTTGCTCTTGAGCATCATCCCTGCTGCTGGCCCATCACAGATATGCTCCTTGATAATCTTTTCAAAGAGTTTCCCCAGGTTTCTCCTACGTATTTTCTATCAGGACATTTGGTGCTCTGGATGAGAGATATTACTTCGTTCTCCAGGTTCCCGAGTAAGGACAAATTCAATGCATTGTCCTGAATAAGGATAGCTTCCTGGATTGGGACACAAGCTGAATCTGTAGAGTTAGAAAAGTTTCTTCACTATGATCAAAGAATTGAGAATGGAAAGAAACAAACAGTCTTATAGAGGATGAAACTGGAAGAGATCTTTCATTTTTTAATTGTTTTTTCTCTAGGAGCAAATATGCCATACACACCACAGCCTACTAGTTATGACTATGATGCTCCATTAAGTGAAGCAGGGGACCTCACGGAGAAATACTTTACTCTGAGGGAAGTAATTGGTATGGTGAGTGTACATAAGACTTGCTAAGAATGTTTCTCTAAATGTCATTGGCTTAACCCCCAGCCTTCCTGCTCACATGTAGGTGTAGGTTACCTCCTTAGTTATTACACACTTCTGCTGTGTGCTTGTAAGGTTAAAAAATGCCCAAACCCTGCTTCTATCCCATTTGGATAGTGCTCCCTTATTCAGATAACTAAATTTTCCCCTTTAGTACTTTACAAACAAGTGGAGAGACTGAGCTGCAGAACCTGAATCTGTATTTTGAATACCCTGAAGCCCAGGGCTGGTCAGGCCATATGTTTACTTTGGGCCCATCTCTGTGTTTAAATACTGCACGCAATTGTTTTCCTTTCTAGAACAGAGACTTCCTCCTGTTTTCTAAAATAGGTGGCCCTCCTGTGGCATGGGTGCCACAAACAGCATGGGCAGCCTTGTTTGTGTGGCACCTGGCAGATTGGGGAGGGCTCAGGAAGTACAGTGGCAGATAAAAAGCAGAAGAGCAGCTTGGTCAAGGAGCACAGGGCAGGGAGCAGAAAGCTGAATAGGAGATCAGGTAAGGGAAAGGGATTAGAGTGCCACTTGGAGAGGAGGAAGGGCTGATGTGTGCAAGGCCTGCCAGACAGGTTGGCCCTCACTATTTTAAAACTTTTCTTAGTTTTAAACTTTCCATGTCTCTAACTGTAGTGTGTTTTGAGTTGTACAAGTCAGCTCAGACCACTGACCTGTGTGTGGCTTCTTTCACCAAGGACATTCACAAATATGTAATTGTTTTTGGTGAGTTTATGATGGATTAGCAGTATGTGACCCAAGGTGATACATTTTGAAGCAGAGAGCTGCTTTTGATAAGATCTGAAATGTAAGGGTACATTTATTCTTTTTGGTCAGATTGGTGTGTGCAGCTTTTACACTGTGGTTTGTTTGCTTCTTGTGTGCCATATCCATAGGATCTACATGAAAGCTTCCTGTCTATGCTGTGGGTTCTGTACCTAGTAGCAGTCTATCTACTCAATCACATTTTGAGATGAAGGTGTTACAGGAAGGCTGGCTTGTAATGAATGTCTGCTTAGAAAAGGATAGATTTGTTGCAAGTGGAATATATATTGGGGCCCCCATATAGTAAACAAGTCTTGGTTTGGAGTGGAGTTTTCCAAACTAAGGCTAAGGACAGAAGTTACACATAAAGCAGTTTAAGTGATCAGAAACTGGTTTAAACCTATAACAGAAGTTCAGTGCACATAAACCAATTTCAAAATGGCTGAAACTGGTTTGAGATACTCCTGGTGGCATGTAGTATCAGGCTTAACTGCTTGAGCTCAAACTGGTTTATGGAACTTCTGTCCCAAACCCCATCCTGGTTTAAACTAAACTGGAGTCCCACAGCATCCCAGCATGCACTGCAGCCCTGGGCTGGGCTGGGCTGGGCTGTGCTGTCTGTTCCAGTGGAGCAGGGCTGGCCCAGCCCCTCTGCTCTCTAGCTGGAGCATGGGTGGGGAGGGGTGTTGCCAGATGCCAGACCCTCTAAGGTGAAAGGGGGCAGGGAAGAGGCTTATTCCTGTCTCACCTTTGTCCCACCATCACAGACCCCAGCCAGGGTCTGACAGGCAGAGGTGCAGCAGCCCCTGCCATGCATTTCTCTGCTCGCTGCTCCAGTGGCGGGGGAATGGCCAGCCCTGGCAGTAGTCTCAAGTGGCCGGGGTGGGGCGTTTAATTCCCTGCTCCTCTGTCCCATTGGCACGGACTCGAGCTGGGGTCTGCCAGGTGCTCCCCCCTCACTGCTACAGGGGCAGGAGTGTGGCAGGATGCCAGCTGGCATGTCTCCCTGAGGCAGGGTGGGGCTGCGCTGTGGACGGCAGCAGGGCAGGCAGACTGCCTGGAGTGAGGCTGCCACAGATTGCACAGGGAGAGTGGCAGCACTGGGGCTCAGAGGGCCCCCCAAACCCCTGCTAGTGCCACTTGCCCTGCACAGTCTGTGGCAGCTCTGCCCACCCCGCTCCTGTCTGCAGTGCAGCCCCCCTCCCTCCCCTCCCACTGGGAAGAGGCTTGCATTCCAAGGAAACCATGAAAGGGCTGTTGCTCCATCAGGGTTGCTCCCCCCTCGGTGCTCCAGTGGCAGGGGCAGGGATGCAGCCAGAGGCCAGCTGAGATGGCCCCGTTAGGTGAAGGAGGCAGGGAGTGGGGTTATTTCTCCCCTCCCTCCAACATCTGGTGGAAGGGGCAGGGAAGAAGCTTATTTTGCCTCTCACCCTGTGCAGGGTGCAATCGGCAGAGGCGATGGTTGGAGCTGGCAGACCTTGGCTGTGTTCCAGCAGAGGGGAAAAAACTCCCTCCCTGCCCCCTTTGCCAGAAGCTAATCTAAGCTCTAGTGCTGCTTTCGCCTTCCTCAACAAATCCCTACAAGCTCGGGTCAGGGAGGTGTACTCCTCCTTGGTCCCTGCCCCCTTTGCCTTGGGGGCCATGCCAGCTGGCATCTGGGCATACCTCCACCTCAGCAGCAGCGAGGGGGGAGTGCCAGGCAGACCCCAGCACGGACCCCAAGGGCTCACTACAGTGCTGTGCTGGAAGTGGGGTGGGCATGGCCAACCCCGGCAGTAGCCTCAAATGAACTGGCTATCTAGGGTGTTTAATCCCCCTCTCCCTGTACCACCAGCATAGATCCGTGCTGGGGTCTGCCTGGCACTCCCCTCTCGCTGCTGCTGAGGTGGGGGTATGGCCAGATGCCAGCTGGCATGGCCCCCGAGGCAGGGGGCAGGGACCAAGGAGGAG